AGGAGATCTGCTACCTTCACACTGATGCACATAAAATAAAGCTAGATAAATTATTAAAATTATATTTAAAAAAATAAGGGGTTGGGGATTTAGCTCAATGGTAGAGCGCTTGCCTAGCAAGCACAAGGCCCTGGGTTCAGTCCTCGGCTCCAAATTAAAAAATAAATAAATAAATAAAAATAAAAGAAAAGGAATGTAGATACAGGAGACTACCTGGAAGTTATATAAAATTAAGGGACAGTGTAAGAATAAAAGCAACATGTCACCTAAAGACAATTTAAGTATGTTTCTTTTACAATTAGATTCTTTCCCATCTCTTTCTCGTCCCTTCTTTTCTTAAACAGGTAACTGGGGCTGGCCTCAACTGTAGGAATAGAAGGAAGCACACAAGTGAATGAATGTCTCTTTAGTACAGGACATTTTCAACAGTTCTTCTTGCTCATAACCATTTTTGGTTCCTTATCCTACTGGAGTTTGTATGTGACTACTTGTGAACATGATTCGGTGTTGCAGACACAAAAGAACCACCAGTCTCTGTTCTGGATTTGGTTAGTGTTAGAGTCCAAGAGAAGCCCCCAAGAAAGACCAACAGTCACGTATGCAGTTTAGCAAGAGCATTTATTTCCAGCATGTTGGGGTGGCATATAGTGACCCTGAAGGGAGGTTGCAAGCTCCTTTTAAGCAAAGCTAGGGGAATTCCAGGGAGGAGGGATTAATCTGGTGCTGATTGGTGGAGGAAAGACTAGTCTGGGGTCTGATTGGTGGGAGGTGGTAGTGGTTAGGGGCCCACTGGTGATGAGGGTCTAGTGTCTCGGGGCTTGTTGACAAGAGGGTAGAAAAAGCTGTCTTTAGCTAGCAGAAGTCTGGTGGGCATCTGCTGAGCCGGCAGGAGGTTGTGGGGGGCACCTGTTGATAGTTGCCCCTAAGTTGTGGTTTTCCTGAGAATTGCTTGCTCAGCTCCAGCCCTTTCTAGTAAACCAAAACTAAGGCCTGGTCCATGTCAGGGCTACTAGGGGAGCCTGTTATGGCCCTGGTTTGGCCACCTGGTTCTCTCAGTCAGTAGGACACAGGAACTCTTTGTGCGTGGCTGTCCCAACCTGTAGAACATTTAGTGTCCTGACAGTTCTAGTTCATAAGGCCAGCAGCACCGACTGTCATTTTGACCACCAGTGAATGCTTCCTAGGGAGCAGCAGTGGCCTTTGACTAAAGCAGCGCTTGGCGCTGATGAGACCACAGCTGTGTCCAACAGGAGGGAAGAGGCAAGCATCATGGAGGGTGAGTGTGTCTACAGGTCACTAGACAGGACCTGTGAGCACAGGCCTTCCTGTTGAATTCACTGGATGCTTACATTTGTAAAGTGGTTTTTTTTTTGTTTTTTGTTTGTTTGTTTGTTTGTTTGTTTTTTGAGCTGAGGATCGAACCCAGGGCCTTGCACTTGCTAGGCAAGCACTCTTCCACTGAGCTAAATCCCCAACCTACATTTGTAAAGCTTTGATGGCTAGATATTTATATGTTCTTATGTGGGCTGTTATTAATCATAGCATTGCGCTATTCTAGTTAAGGAATGATAAATAAAGCTGCAAGTTTTCTTCTTGGTATACATTAACAAAATGATTCTCGAATTTCACTACTTGTCAGAAGCACCTGGGAGCTTGTTAAAATGTGCTCCTAGGCTCCGGCCCTAGGCTTGTTGATGGAGGAGGTTTGGGACAGGTCTCTGCGTCCATGATTCTGAATGGCAATGCTGCTACCGAACTGGGATGCATAAGTCAAGAGCTTTATAATCAACAATCTCTTTATACTTTTCCTGTGTTTTAGGGAGTAATGGACCACAGAAGTTCTGCATCGAGAAAGTTGGGAAAGAAAATTGGTTACCCAGAAGCCATACTTGGTAAGCAAAATCAGAAATACCAAAAATAAACTTTATTCCATTTAGTTTCTGGCTACTTATTAGAAATGAAATAATTTCCCCATATTTTACTTTAAATATCTTATTTAACTCTACTGAGGCAGAATTTATGTATAACAAAATAAATTCCCTTCCTCACTTTGAAAAGATTATTTATTTTTATTTGTGTATGTGGCTGCATGTGCACCGTGTGTAAGTTACAGGTGTTGTGAGCCCCCTGGTGCTGGTGCTGGGAATTGAACCCCGCCCGGGGCCTCTGGAAGAGCAGTAAGAGCTTTGAACCACTGTAAGCTTTGAACCACAGTAAGAGCTTTGAACCACCATCCCAACAGCGCCCCACCCTCCCTTTACTGAGACGGGGTCTCAGAGCCCAAGCTGCCCCTGAGCACCTGCTCTTCCTGCTCTGCTCCCCAGTACTGGGTTACAGCTGTACAGGCAAGTTAGCCCACTTGACCCATGATGCTCACTCACTAGGTTTACAGGGCAGTGCAACCCCTGAAGTTGCTGTAGAGCCTTGCCTTCAAGTCAAGATGATCCCTTTGTGCCCATTTGCGGGGCATGCCTCTTCCTGCCTCTTAAAGTTTTAAACCTGGGATTTAGAATCCTTGTACCCTTTCCCTGAAACAGGAAAGAAAGTTTGAAATTAGAATCCTTACTTAGTAATATGGTGAACAGAATTATTGCTCTTTTTGGTTTTCTTTTTGTAATACTGGGAATTGAACCCAGCCAGGGCCTTTCACATACCAGGCAGTCCTCTATAACAGCTATATCCCCAGACCTTATTTTCTGGTTTAAAAATGTAGTTTAACCTTATTTCCCAAACTGTACCAAACTAAAAATCAACCAGTCTTAACCTCAAATACAGTTCATGTTGGAATTCAGTGTACTGTCAATCACGTTTGGATTTTAACCATTTGTGGTGTGCGTAGCTCAGGGCTGTTGGTGGGGTCCGGTGGGTATATAGGACCCTGTCACTGTGGCTGACGTGTGTCACTAAACACACACTTCCACTCTCCAGCTCCTGGTGACCAACATTCTTTTTGTCTCTAGCCTCCCAATTATTATTTTTAATCAACACAAAGTAATTGTACATATTTTCATGTGGCTTGGTTTTCGAGACAAGGTCTCATGAAGCCTAGGCTAGCTTTGAATTCCTGGTCATTCTGCTTTTAATGCCCAAGTCCTGGAATCATAGACATAGAGTATCATGCCCAACTATTTATGGACCTGGAGAGATGGTCCAGTGGTCAAGAGGCAGAGCCAGGTGGATCTATGTGAGTTTGAGGCCAGCCTGGTCTACAAAGCGAGATCCAGGTCAGGCACCAAAACTACACAGAGAACCCCTGTCTCAAAAAACCAAAAAGAAAAAATAAAAAAAAAAACAAACCTTAAAACTGGGCTAGAGAAATTCCCAGCTAGGAATAGAACAGAGAACTGTAGAGGGAGCCGAGTATTAGAGAGTCATTTTTTATTTTTGTTTGTTTATATTGTTTTTGTTTGAGACGGGGTCTCACTATATGGACCAGGCTGGCCTAAAACTCAGAGCTCCATCTGCTTCTGCCTCCTGAATGCTGGGATTAAAGGCGTGAGCCACCACACCTGGCCCATTATTTCTTATTCCAACATGATAGACCTAAAACCTTTTATAAAAAGCCTGCAAAGCCTAAAGTCTTTCTTTTCGGCCATTTACAGTAAGTTTGATGACCGCTGATGTAGAGTGGGTAGTTGGGCAGCATGAGAAGACTGACATTTGCTGAGGATCTGCTAAGCACTGGCACTGTGTGTGTGTGTGTGTGTGTGTGTGCACACGCGCGCGCGTGCGTGGTTCTAACTCCACCACAAGGGTTGGTGTTGCTCTCCCAGTTTACCAGAGAAGGCACTGGAGTGAGTTCCTCAAAGGCTGTGTGTGGTTCAGCCACGTCAGAACTTTAGTGTGTTGCTGCAGGGCACTGCCCACATCTGTCTTTGTATCCTTCTTCCCTTTCTCAAGCCAACCATTCTTCCTTTCAGTTTTAACCGCCTGGACCTCCCACCCTACAAGAGCTATGAGCAACTGAAGGAAAAACTGTTATTTGCCATTGAAGAAACAGAAGGATTTGGACAAGAGTAACTGTTGAGACCTTAGGCCACCAGAGAACAGGGACTCGTCTCCAGTGCCTGCCCCTTCCTTCTCTGCCTGTTGCACATCTTATTGTAAACTTGGACTGTGACTAGAGAGTTATCCAAGTGTAAGTAGCTTAATGTTACCGTTGAGATTTATCTTCCAGTGATTCTGGATTTCTACTCAACGTTTCCAGAAAGCCGATCTACAAAACAGTAGTCAGAAACTTACTTAACACGAGATTTAACACAGCGATGAAATCTCCATTGTCTTATTCCACTAGATTGTTCCCTTAACAACAGTTTTCTGTGTGTGTCAAAGTCTCACTTGGGAGTAGGTCTCTTGGTGGCTGTTGTCAAGACTCTGCAGACACACTGGGACGACTCCAAAACTGCAATACACAAGGTCTTCCTGGTAAAGCCTCTAGCTAGGAGGTGCTCGCCAAGAGTGCAAGCTCGGCGGTGGCTGCTGCGGCTGCGGCGGCGGCGGCGGCACTTGGGCAACTGCTGCTTGTGCTCTCCCTCATTTCCGCCTGGCCTGACTGTTGACTTCTTCCCTGGAGCAGGAACCAGTGCGTCGTTCTGATGTGACTTCTGGACGTGACGCAGGACTCACAGCTTCTACAAAGTAGATTTGTCTATTCGATTCAGGGAAAACTTGCTCCCCGCCAACCTATGACTTCATACCTCTCTTCATTCAGTTGATAATTATTTTATTGCCTTGCAAATACTAAACTTTACAAACAGAATCAGCACTGTGGTTCCTTCATGTTTTAGAAGTTAACCCCAAATCAAAATTAAATTGGCTGAATTCATCTATGATCATTCTTGATTTTTAAATCCTACATGTAAATTAAAGCTTTATGGTTTTATTATAATCCAAAACCCCAGTTACATTGGATTATTGCTAAGGTATTCAAGTTGCAACCATTTCTAATCCAAATCGAGGTCATTGGTGCAGTCTTTGAAATCAGGACAATATCAGCAAAAGGACAATGTCCAGCGGCACATTTGGGCCGTCGTCTCGTGCCTGGCACACACAGGAGCAGGCGTTTCCATCTTATTACATGGTCCTGATCTGCAATATTTTTCTCACCCCTAAAAATTTTAGATTTTCCTTTTTTCTTTTTTCTTCATGACTCACTTACTTTAGACTGCTCCTTTAGTAACTGATGAATGCACTTTGACTTTCTCTGTAGTTAATTTACCTTGACTTAGTTAGACTGTCAAGATGGCTGCCGCCATAGATACGACTTTATGGGCAGAGAAATGAAGCCTCCGCCAATTGAGTCCCTATTATAGCCAAATCCCAAAACAGCCTTATAACTCACAGGGACTTTGTGTCGATAGCATAGCATGAACATGTAGCATGAAGCCAAGAACACACCGAGAGTGACAGCCCTGTTCCACAGGAGAGAAGGTGTTCCTCTGTCCCTCGCTGCAGTTCTTGCTCATCCGAGAACAACAAGGTTCTGAACGTGTGCAACTGTACTCTTTACCACTGCCATGGCCAGTAGAGACACGTGGGACTGAGAACGGGTTCCCTATCTAGAGACGCTCAGGGAAGGGAAAGCTCAGCTTCTCCCAGCCCTCTTTTTACCCTGGATACCACAGGAAATACATGTCATCTCTAGAAGCCCTAGTTATTTCCAAAGTAGGAACTCTCTGCCTTTTTGTTGGTAGGGTTAAAAATAGATATGCTATTGCTTTGTCTTACAGAGTGAATGTCTGCCAACTACCCATTCACTACATAGGCCTGGACTTTAATACATGGCTATAAGTACTAAGCCTTCTACAAAGACCTCCTATTGGATCAAATTCTTGTACTAAAGTGTAGTCATCTGCCATATCCACTAGAGATGGATGAGATTAAATTAAGAGATAATGTAAGAGAATAGGCTTTGTTGGTTCTGCATTCTGCTTCATGATTCATTTAGGGACCTAGAGATATTATGTGAAAATGTATAAATATCACCCAAAAGGCTTTCTGCCCTATATTTTTAAAAATACAGAAGTTATATTTGAAGTAGTCCTGGCCCTAGTTCTATAGGGCCTGGCTATTTAATATTTTTATGGAAGAAATGTTTAGTTCTGGAAAAGGTAAATGCTTGTATATATTTTTGCAGCCCTGGGGTCTCACAGCTCCATTCCCCCTTTAATTTAATTGGTCATATGTATATGTCTTCCCTGCTGTGTTAGGAAAATGGGGGCTGGATATCCCAAGAATCAGAGATTATATAAAATAATGCAACTAAACAGCAGACATAAATATTTACCAAATGCTCTCACATTTTGGTTCAAAGTGAGTATTTGGAAATAGATTTGTGTTTAATTAGTGCTTTTCCTTAAATCTGAACTAAGTTGCTTTTAAGACCTTTTTCTCTGTAAGCATTGTAAATGCTAATCAATCCTGTTGGTTTTTTTTTTTTTTTTCCCTTACTGCATGTTACATTGAAATAAAAACAGAGTAAAATGAGCATTTGCCTTTTCTTCTGCTCTTTGGTGGGTTCCACAGCAGCAGGGTCAAGAGGGAAGGGGCTTGGGTATTTGATCACATGAAGTGATTTGAGCTGATGTTGATAGCAGTGACCTGTAGTGCAGAAGCATTTAAATTGAGAAATTATTTAAATAAACGATTTAACATTCAGGTACTGATTGGCCACCAAGGGATCCCCTCACTCATCTGCCTACAGGCTCTCACTCTAATGACTGTTTCGGTCAAGCCCTCTCTGCGTTACCCTTTACTGTATAACCTGGTGACATTCCCTGAAATGTCACCGGGGTGGGTGACTCATGGGCTTTTGCCTGTTTAGGGTCTGAGTTTCTTTAAGGTTCACTACTTCAGTGCAGTGTCGTTGGTATTTCCAGCCGCCACCCCATTTTCCCTTCGGACTTCCGAGTGTCTGTCTGTCTGTGCTTTCTTTCATCCAGTCAGCCAGGGAGTGGCAGACACTCTTGGTCCCTGTGCTCGCCTCCCGTTGCTTTCTTAGACTGATTTAAAATGCGCAGGTGACTCACATATCACAGGGAGTCGGGTCTATAAAGGAGGTTGCCTCACTTGGACTTCCTTAAAAGATGTAAGACTGTTTATAATTAAAGTTTTTGAGTCCTTCGTTTTGCATACTTTCCTGTTGGTTTTGTTAGGAAAATGGTGTGCACCACATGTAGAAAGCCTTTTATGTGACTTCTCTTAGAGTGGTGAGTTGACAGCCTGTCTATCAGCTGTGAGGTGTGTAGGAAAATACAGATCTGCCACTCAGGGCAGCTGGGAGAGGCTGTCTGCAGGGCACCGAGGGCCTCCATCTGCCCTGCCTCTCTGCTGCCACAGACAGGTCTGAGGGGCTGGAGACAGCGCGTCAAGTGTTTGCTGCACAGCATAATGGACTTGTTGGGATCCCCAGCACTGTGTGAAGCCTGGAACAGTGGTGTGTTGCACTAGCCAGGACAGGCAGATTCCTGAAGCTCTCTGGCCAGCTGGACAGCCCAGCTGACTAGATAAATTCCAGGTTCAGTGAGACCTTGTCTCGAAAGAGACAAAACATACCCACTGGTGAGTTACAATGGCTAGTGCCAATGCTCATGACCACACACAAGGCTCTGGCTCAAGCCATTGGGTCACAAAGCAAACACTAAGACATGACAGTGGGATGGAGAGGGTGGGAGGGAGGCTGGTGGGCAGGGTAAGTGTGACCAGAATGCATTGTATATGTGCATGAAACTCAGTACATTTTTAAGGTGGATCCAGGATTGGTTGATGCCTTTAATTCCTGCCCTGGAGAGGTGAAGACAAGCAACCTCTGTGAGTTCCAGGACACCTGGGTTTACATGTGAGACCTTGTCTCACAAAAACCAAACAGCTGGAAAGATAAGTCCAGGGCTTGAGAGTGCTTACATCCCAGTGGTGGTGGCAGTGCACGCCTTTGGCACTCAGGCTGAGGCAGGTGAATCTCTGAGTTCAAGGTCAGCCTGGTCTACAGATTGAGTTCCAGGACAGCCAGGGCTACACAGAGAAACCCTGTCTTGAAAAAACAAACAAACGCCGGGCCGTGGTGGCACACGCCTTTAATCCCAGCACTCGGGAGGCAGAGGCAGGCGGATCTCTGTGAGTTCGGGGCCAGCCTGGGCTATCAAGTGAGTTCCAGGAAAGGCGCAAAGCTACACAGAGAAACCCTGTCTCAAAAAACCAAAAAGAAAAAAGAAAAAACAAACAAACAACAAAAAAAAAAAGAAAGAAAGAAAGAAGAAAAAACAATAAAGAAAAAGTGCTTACTACTCTACCAGAGGATCAAAATTCAGATTCCAGTGACCATGGGGGGCAGCTCACAGTCACCTGCAACTCCAGTCCCAAGGAGATCTGAGGCTTCCTTATGACTTCCATGAGACCAGGCATGCACATGGTATACATACATGCATACAAACATACATTCAGGTAAAACACTCATAAATCAATTTTTTTTCTAAAAAAGACTGACCATTCTCCACAAGTCTGCCTGCTCACCCACTTAAGTATACCTCATTATAAACCCAAGCCAAGGGTCAGTGAGATGACTGGGGTTAAACCACTCGCTGCCAAGCAAGCCTACAGACCTGAGATTAATCCCAGGGACCCACTGGGTATGAGGAGAGAACCACTCCCCAAAAAGTGTCCTCTCACTGCCACAGACTTCAACTGTAGCATGCAAGAGCCCACATATTTACAGACAAAATTAAATGCTATTGCAAACTGAAGCCCTTCCCCAGAGGCAACTCAGCCATCCTGTCTAATCAGACTTCAGGTCCTATCAAATAAATGCCAGTAACTGGATCCTCACCACAGAGCTACCCCATCCTGCATCCCTGTCTGGTTCATGTGTGAGATGGAGGTGATGATCCTTCCTGTAGCTAATTCCTGGGGTCCTTAGGGGTCCATTCACTATAGCACCCCTTTTTTGTTTGTTTTGGTTTTTTGTTTTGTTTTTCAAGACAGGGTTTCTCTGTGTAGCTTTGGAGCCTATCCTGGATCTCTGTAGACCAGGCTGGCCTCGAACTCACAGAGATCCGCCTGCCTCTGCCTCCCAAGAGCTGAGATTAAAGGTGTGCGCCACCACCGCCCGGCCACTATAGCACTTCCACCCCTATTTGGAATGAAGAGCTGGAGATGAGGTGCACTCCTAATGTTTCTAGCATTGAAGAACCATTTCTTTGTTTACATTTTTTTTTTTTTAAACATGGTTTCTCTGTGTAGCCCTGGCTGTCCTGGAACTTATTCTGTAGATCAGGCTGGTATCCAAATCAGAGATCTGCCTGCCTCTGCCACCCTAAAGGCATGTGCTACCACACTTGACCTCCAATTTTTTTTTTTTTTTTATGTATGAGTATTTTGCTTGCCTGTATGTATGTACACCACGTGTGTGCCTGGTGCTCTCAGGGGTCAAAAGAGGTCATCAGCTACCTTAGAATGAAGCTGTAGATGACGTGAGCTGCCATGTGGGTGCTGGAAACTGAACCAGGTCCTCAGCAAGAGCACCAAGTGCTCTTAATAGGTGAGTTCCTTTTGTAGCAGGAGATCCCGCAGAGTGTTGCATCTAGCTTGAACACCGGAGTGTTATCACTTAGGCTTTTTTTTTCTTTATTTTTTGTGTCTTTCACATGATGCATCTTGATCCCATTCATTTCCCTGTCCCTTCACATCCACCCTCCACCCCTGCACTGCCCCTCATAAAACAAAAGGACAAAATTAATCTTGTCATGGAAGCTGCAGTGTGACACAGTGAGTCACACAGTAATCACTTTGTCCATATATCTTTACTTGCAAGTGTTCATTGCAGAGTCTGGTTCCAGGCTTCTGGTTTCTACTACACTATCGATGCTGGGCCCTCACTTGGATATCCTGCTGTTGCTCTCTGTTGTGAAGATCCTGCAGCTTTGGGTCTTGGGTCAGGCCTCTTCACTTGCTCTAGCAGATCATAGATGGGGTGGATGTTGGGGCAGGTCAAGTCATAACCCTGGTTCTGGGCCCTGGACAGCTTCGGGGTTGGTCAGCCTGCCAGTTCTTCCCTGTCCTCACCACCAGGGTGAGCTCTCCAGCACTGTCCCGTCTAATTCACCCTTGTAGCAATGCAAGGATTGGGGTCAGTTCTGCTTTCATGCCCTCAGGGTTGGTGCCCTCCACCTACAGCATCAGGGCCAACTCTACTGTGTTGCCTAGGCGAGGTGCAGGGGCCCCTCTCCTGAGTGCTGAAGCTGGTGAGGGGCAGGGACAGCTCTCCCGCTTTTAGGACCCCAGGGCCAGCTCCTCCGGCAGTCTCGGGCTTTGATGGGCTGGGGGTGGAGGGGGGGGGGGTCCTTCCACTGCCCATGCCGCCACATGTCAGATGAGTAATGGGGACAGCTCTCCCTTGCAACATCGGTATCACCTAGGTGACAGTTGCCTTTTGTTTGATGTGTTTGATTATCTGAGTTCTTCCTGAAGGGTTCCGAGCCACTGTTTTAAACCTAAGTTTTCTGTTAGAAACCCGAATGTTGTTCGTAACCTGCAAGATAAAGAGCAGAGGACAAGACAGGACTCTGGGAAATCTCGCCCTTTTAGAGGCGAGAAAATAGTAGGGCAGAGATGTAAAGATTCTCCAAAGAAACACAGGAGTGCGGCGGAGTCCGCAACCCTAAATCTTAAACGCGCAGGGCAGTGCTGACCTGTTCATCCCAGAGCTTGCTCCTGAGATGCCCAGCTTCGGGGCTGCCCACTCAGTTGGGCTCCTGTCTCTGCCTCAATCAGCAACAGTCGGCCTCCGCCCGGGGACCTCGGCTAAATATTGAAGACAGACCTGGAGACCTGGAATTTTGCCCACAGCGGCTCCAGCCTCTCCTAATGGGAGCGTCCCTGTCCCGCTGACTCACGTCAGCCCGCCCCTGTCCCCCACTGGCTCCTGATAGGCTGCCCGGGCTGTCCGTCTCGACAAAGACCTGCGCGCAGGCTCAGAAAGGCGGGGAGCTCGCTGGGCGTCGCGGACTCGGAGCTGCTGGATCGGTCCGAGATGGTGAGTGTCCACCCGGGGCTGCGGGAGCGGGCGGCGGCCACCCCGCGAGAGGCGCGCGTCCGTCGCCGCCCGGGGTCCTAGTCGCTGGGCGTCGCCTCGCGGGACGGCAGCGCGGCCCTTTAGTCCCGGCTGAGGCGGGGCGACCGGATGCCACAGGCCCTTGACCGGAAGCCGGTCTGTGAGGGGACGCCCCGGAGGCCCGCCCTCTGGTGCGCTTGTGGTGTCGTGTGTTGGGCCGTTTGGGGCAATCCCAGCCAGGCTGCAGGGTTTCCTGGAGTCCGGTAGGCACTCTGCGTGCGTTGCCTTCCCTCCTCCGCTTTGTGAAGTGGGTACGGCCATTAGCTCCATCTTCACACTTGGAATCCAGAGTCAGTCGGGCCCGGGGATCGAACGCCCCAAGCTTGACTGCCGCCCGTGGGCTCAGTTTGGTGTGCGGGTTAGGAACCCGCGGGTCCCATCCCGAGGGATCCCCAAACCGTCTGCCTGTCTTTACAGGGTGGTGCTTTCAATCCTCGCGAGTTGTCCAGAGTTTCAAAGGCCGTTTCCAGCGTTAAAGCAAACCTCAGAATCTTGTTTAGGACTGGCATGATGGTGCACGCCTCAAGCCCGGCACTAGGAGGGCTAGGATTTGCCCTTTCAAGACCAGCCGGGGCCATAAACACCAGTCCGTGTCGCAAAACAAAAACTTTACTAGAAACTTTTTTCGGTTCTTATGTATATGACTAGAGTTTTGCCCGCATGTTCATGTCTGCACCATTAGCGTGCTTGGTTCTGGCACAGGCCAGAAGAGGGGGTCGGATCCTTTGGAACTGGATGTACCGATGGCTGTGAGCCACCATATGGGTGCTGGGGAGTCAAACTTGGGTCTTTTGGAAAAGCGTTCGGGCCATCTCTTCAGCCCCCACAAAACTACAGCTATACAAGAAACTGAGAGGGAAGACAGAAAGGCAGCGTCTAGAGCACTGTTTCTCAACGTGTGGGTCAAGGCCCCCTGAGGTCGAACGACCCTTTCCCAGGGGTCGCATATCAGATATCCTGTGTGTCAGATATTTACATTGTAGTTCATAACAGTAGTAAAATTATGAAGTAGCAATGAAATAATTTTGTGGTGGTGGTGGGGGTCACCACAACATGAGGAGCTGTGTTAAAGGGTCACAGCTTTAGGAAGGTTGAGAACCAACCCCTGGCCTAGAGGCAACTACCTAGGCACATTGCTTACTGTGTTTTTATTTGCTGTAGCCACCATCGACTGTTCAATTGAGGGTTCGTTTTTCATTCTACCACAAAGAATGTCTCCACATCACCCAAAACAATATTGCTTCACATCTGTGCAATGTTATCTTCCACAACACTTAACTGTAAACATTTTTAATAAGGGACTGGGAAGATGGGTTCAGTCATTAAGAGCATTTGTTGTTCTTGCAGAAGGGTTCAGTTCCCAGCACCCACATGTCGGCTTACAGTGGTCTGTAACTCCACTTCCAGGAGATCTGATACCTTCTGGCTTCTGCAGGCTCCTACATGTACATATCACATGTGTGTATACTCTAGCACACACACATAAAATAAATACATAATTTAAAAAAATTGAATCGCATATTCACAGTTTTAAGAAATACAAAGGGCTCTAAGTGGAAAGTATGTCTCATCCACCCCTAACTCCAGTTTCAGCCCCCTTCAGGTACAGCCAGGTTCTTGTATGTTTATACAAGCGTGTGTGTGTGTGTGCCCTGTTTTTTCACACTTAAGTGGTAGCTTCCTCTAATCAGTACTGTGCTGTGGTTTGCACTCATAAAATTGTTACATATTGAGATGAACATTCCAAATGGACTCTTGCAGCACTGTGGGATATAATCTGTAAGAGGTGCATGTGGTCCCCTTCTTACTCTCCCAGACTAAACACTGTTGACATTTGGGTGCGCTTCCTTCTGGAATTGTTTGGTACATGAGGACTATGTTACACTTTGTGCCTTTTAAAGCCCAGGCTACTTCA